TAGCATGATCATGGCTCACCTCAGCCTCAGGCTCCTGGGTTGATCCTGATCCTTCCACCTCAGCCTCCTAAGTAGCTGGGACTACAGGCACATGTCACCATGCCCAGCTAATTTTTTTTTTTTGGTAGAGGTGAAGTCTCGCTATGTAACCTAGGCTCAAACTCTGGGACTCAAGCAATTCTCCTGTCTCAGCCTCCCAAAGTGCTGGGATTACAGGTATGAACCACCAAGCCCAGCCAGAATTCTGTTTTGAATCAGAGATCCATCTCTTTAGTTAAAAATCATCAAAAAGGCCAGGTGCGGTGGCTCATGCCAGCACTTTGGGAGGCCGAGGTGAGAGGATTGCCTGAGCCCAGGGGTTCAAGACCAGCCTGGGCAACTTGGCAAGACCTTGTCTCTACAATAAATTTTTTAAAAAATTAGCCAGGCATTGTGATGCACACCTGTAGTTCCGGCTACTTGGAAGTCTGACGGAGAATTGCCTGAGCCCAGCATGCCAAGGCTACAGTGGCCATGAGTATGCCTGCACACTTCAGCCTGGATAACAGAGTGAGACTCCAACTCAAAGAAAAAAAAAGTTGTTCCATTATGAACTGCCGGCAATATTTTAAGCAGTGTAAGTCATCAGAAAGGTAACTTGACATTATATTCCAAGATGCACAAACTGTTTATAACCCTTTATCCACTCCTGAAATTTCAAGAAGTGCATCTAAAAAACCAAAAAATTATATGCACAGGGGTGTTTGTTCTAAGCAACCTACATCTTTTATAATGGAGGGTTAATTAAATACGTTATAGATTACTCTGAATATTATACAGTCATTAAAATTATAAATTCTATGAAAATAACACAATGCTTGACATTTTACATCAAGTGGAAATAGCAGGATAGCTTGTATTTTTATGCTGTCTACAGAGGTGAAAAAAGTATGTGTGCATTGTTGTACCCGAATCCTGAATCCGAGAGACCACCAAAGAGTCAGCTCCAATGCAAATCACACGAGGGTCTTTATTCAGGCTCGAGTCTGGGCTCACGTCCGTAACCGGCGCAGCGGTACAGGAACGAGAGCCCCGACCCAGCGCAGCAAGCAGCTTATATACACAGTTACAAGGAAGGGGAAAGAACTTTAAACTTGTTCGCACGTAATTGGATAATTTCTCCTACTGGGTACGGGGACGTTTGGGATTGGTTGGTTTGTATGGTTGTGGGTCGCAGCTGACCATCAACGGTCGCGGCTGACCATCAACGGTCTGACCATCAGGCGGGCTGGGTGGAACTGGTTGGGACATCTGGAATGTGAGATTACTAGGGGAGTAGAGCAGGAAATGGGGCCAGAGGGTCTGCACTGTGACTCCTTGGTTTTCTTTTGGTATGTGAACTTGTTTACCAAAAGTATACTACTGGGCTTGGGCGGGAAAGCAAACATACATCTGAGTTTTAAAAACAAGTTTCAATATACATTCAAAATAAGCTTCAACCTACACTTAAAGCAAGTTTTATCACACAATTATGAACTAGATGGCCCTTGAGCTCCTCATGCATATGGAAAAAAAAAACCTGTAAAATGAAAGATGTGATTAGCCATAGTAGGGAACATGGAACATTTCTCATTTTGTTTTATTTCTATGGTTATTTTTATGTTTGTGCATTTTTTTTTCCTGAAAGAAGAGAAAGACAATAAATGGTTTTAAAAATGTCCCCAGAATTCCTAACTAAACTATAAGTATGTAATCCAGTACCAGTGCCTAAGGTAACAAATTTCATAAATTTATTATCCTCTATAAACAAAAAACTGCCTTTTATTTGTCTTAAAAACTGCTACTTTCAAAACTCAAGGTATAAGCTCTTACTCTTTGTCCCCAGATTGATTGGAAAAGTCTGGATCTTTCCTTTTCACACCCATTTTTGATTGTAGAGTTCCCAGGTTTATCCTCTTGACCTTTTGTCTTTGCAGATGAAAGAGTCCTATTTTGGGGCTGGCCTCCCGTCTCTGGATCTTTCCTCGCCTTTGTGTCTCTGGAGGTGCAATAAGGGAACTATACACAGTACTCCCAATTCAGCTGCATCATGGTTTTATACAAGAGTATCATGTTTTTTGTTTTGTTTCCAAAAGCCTTCATGATGGTGCCTGGCCAGATGCTATTGAGTTTTTAGCTGTGGCAGCATATTAAGCCAGTGTCTTCTGGAAACAATAGAGCATTACTGCCCTGCCCCGCCCCCTTTTTGGCTTATCACTGATTGCCCACAGCCATCATTTAATGAGCAGAGCTAGGATTACTTTCCCCAAAAATGTAAAATTGTAATTGACACTTGTCGGCCATTTTGTTTTTGCCAGCTCACATGGCCTAGAAATTGTCTTATATTTTACCCCTTAGAAGGATGTGGGGGCATCTGTGAAGTTGGGTTTTTCAGCAGTGCAGTCTGCTCTTTCTTGCACACTTTCCAATAGAGGTTCGTACTGTCATTCAACACTGAGTGCTTTTCTATCCTGAGAAATGCCTATTTCTGTTTCTTTTCCCTAATCCACCTCACCTTTGTGAGACAGCACTTCCTCTTTCTCTGTCTCCTCATCCCCCCCACCCCTCCATAACTTTGGATAATCTCTGATGTACAGCCTTGCAAGGAATGTCTTCACATCGAAAGTGCTGACTGCTGGCTTCCCCATGGGCTGTCATGACTTACTTTGTCCCAGTTTGAAAGGACTCCGAGATTAGTGAGACGTGATTTCCTTTTGCTGGAAACATGTTGATTTTCCTTTAGCAGGTTCTGCTTTCTAAAGCACTAGCCATAGTGACTGCAACAGGGAGAGCCTGGTCTATGAAACCAGGCAGGCCTGGGTCTGGATTGCAACTTACATGTAATGGCCATGATGTGATCTTGGTGGGTTACTTAACCTCTTTGTGCTTTTACTGGAAAAATGACAGTGGCAATAGCGTGCCTCTTAAAGCAGTCCTTTCCAAACACTGCTGTGCAAATGGATTACCCAGGGATCTCAGTGCAGGGCAGATTCTGATTCACTAGGTCTGATTTTTTTTGTTTGTTTTACTTCTTTCTAACTTTATTTTTTATTTTTGAGTCAGAGTCTCACTCTGTCGCCCAGGTTGAAGTGCAGTGGCATGTTCATAGCTACCGTAGCCTCAACCTGCTGGGCTCAGGTGATCCTTCTGCCTCAGCCTTCCACAGAGCTGGAACTACAGGTGCACACCACCATGCCCAGCTAATTTTTTGATTTATTATTATAGAAGAGAGGTCTCGCCAAGTTGCCCGGGCTGGTCTCAAATTCCTGAGCTCAGGCAATCCTCTCACCTCCCTAAGTTCTGGAATTACAAGAGTGAACCGCTGTGCCTGGCCTTTTTTTTTTGAGATAGAGTCTTGCTGTATTAATCAGACTGATCTTGAACTCCTGGATTCAAGCTATCCTCCCACCTCAGCCTCCCAAGTAGCTGGGACTACAGGCACACCACCCTGCACCTAGCTCTGAATTTTTTTTTTAGTTGGAGTCTCACTCTGTGGCCCAGGCTGGAGTGCAGTGACACAGTCACGGCCACCGCAGCCTTGACCTGCTGGACTCAGGCGATCCTTCTGCCTCAGCCTTCCAAGTAGCTGGAACTACAGGCATGCGCTACGATGCCCTGCTCATTTTTCAATTTATTGTAGAGATGAGGACTCACCAAGTTGCCCAGGCTAGACTCGAACCCCTGAGCTCAGGCAATCCTCTTGCCCCAGCCTCCCAAAGTGCTGGGAATACAGGCTTGAGTCACCGTGCCTGGCCAGCTCTGGATTTTTTTAAAAGCTCTGCAGGTGATTCTAGTATGTGGCAAAATTTGAGAACTAGTGCCTTTTTATTGGATAGCAAAGCATAAAGAATGCTAGTCATAGAAAGCGCTCAGGAAAATGCAAGAACTAAAGGTTGATGTGGACAAGTGTGTCCCAGCTTTGGAGACCAGGCCAAACAGCAGACCTTGAAGATTCCATTGCCCAGCAGCTAGAGTGATCAGTTACCTGTTGCCCCCGTCAGTAGGGGGCCTCCTCTGTGTAGTTCTCCCTTCTCTCACAACACCATGTCTCCTGCCAGGCTTCCCAGATGCTCAGACCCTACCACAGTGAGTGTGGGTGGATCAGTGGAAGGAGGAAACGGTGACATAGAGAGTCCAAAGAAAGGACCTGGAACCTTCTGGTACTACCCCAAGACTTCTGTTTAGATAAGGGAGCCCAAAGAAGGGATCTGGAGCCCCAAGGCTTCTGTTTGGTTCCTCAAATTCTTATTTAGCACTTGCTATCTGCCAAGCCCTGTGCTGGACCCTGAGACATGGTAAGACACGATTCCTACCCTGAGGGAGCTCACAGAGAAGACAGCATGTCAGCAAATACTGGTTCTTTTTTTTTTTTTTTTTTGAGTTGGAGTCTCACTCTGTCGCCCAGACTGGAGTGCAGTGGCCGCTCCCAGCCACCGCAGCCTCGACCTGCTGGGCTCCGGCGATCCTTCCGCCTCAGCCTTCTGAGTAGCTGGGACTACAGGCGCGTGCCACCACGCCTGGCTCAAATACTGGTTCTTTTATGGGAAATAGTAGGAATATGCCCTGGTTATTGAGGGGGCTTGAAAGGGCAAATATGGGAACTGATCAGGGAAATTTCCCAAGATGCTCAAGCTGTGTCTTGGCAGAATAACTACCCGTTTTCCAGGTAGATGTGGAGTGGGAGGAAGAGCACAGACTTATGAAATGCCATGGTGTGGTGAGGGAGCTGGAATTCTTTTGGCGGAGCTGACGTATGCAGAGAACACTTGGAGCAGGAACATTTGGAGGATCCTAGGAGGCCAGGCCAGACCGTGGGGCCTGCAGCTGAAGCAGACCTTGGATTTCCTCCTGCAGGAAATGGAGGGCCGTTGAACAGTCTGAAGCAGAGAAGCAGCCATTCAGACTTGTGTTTTTGATGGACCTCCCTGGGTGTCATGTGGAGATTAGGTGGAAAGGGAAACCGAGGCAGCAGGGAGCCCATCATGAGAGTCATGAGGAACGCAATGAAGTCAGCAGGTGTTGGTGAGAATGACAAAGGGGATGGTGAGCCACACCAAGAAGCAGGTTTGGTGACATTTAGTCACTGGCCAGATGTAGGTGGGGGTGTGAGATACAGGACAGGAACAAGGGCGAGTGGTAGAGCTACCAAGGGGCAGTGAGGGAACTCCTCACGTGGTCATGCACGTGCTGACATCAAGCGAGAAGGAGGAGCCTAGGATGAGTTCAGGCGTGTGACATGGTGATGGGGTAACTAGTGAGACCATTCACCAGGAGCGTCGGCGGCTGTATGGTAGCAAGGATCGCCAGGTACTCCAGGACTCAAGGGCCCCTTCCTCCCTCCTTGGCCTCTGAGGCTATGTGAGGCTCAGGCTTCTCTGTCTGGTCCAGCTTTGCTCACACAGCCCAGCCTTGACCTTGATCTCTACAATAATTCCCAAAAATTAGCTGGGCATGGTAGCACCTGACTAATTCTGGCTACTTGGAAGGCTGAGGCAGAAGGATCGCCTGAGCCCAGCAGGTCAAGGCTGTGGTGGCAGTGGGCGTGCCACTGTATTCCAGCCTGGACGAGAAAGTGAGACTTCGAGTCAAAAAAAAAAAATGCATTTTCACTATCGCCAATAACAGAGCCCAGCCTTGACCTCCTGAAAGCAACCGTTAACCCCTGTCCTGCTCTGTACCCAGTGACGTGGCTCTCACAGGTGGTCCCCTGCTCCCTAGTCTGACAGCACCCCCAACTTTGAGAGCCCTCAGAAGGGTCAGCTGTTTGCATCTGGAAACATCCCAGTGGAGAAGCAGCCACGTTCTTCTGGTGGCTGAAGGTGATTTCAACCTTCCATGAGGCCTGTGATGACATCAGAGGATAACTGGAAATTGGAGCACACTCTGTTATTGGCGATAGTGAAAATGCATTTATTTTTTTGACTCGGAGTCTCACTTTCTCATCCAGGCTGGAATGCAGTGGCACGCCCACTGCCACCACAGCCCCGACCTGCTGGGCTCAGGCGATCCTTCTGCCTCAGCCTTCCAAGTAGCCGGAATTAGTCATGCGCTACCATGCCCAGCTAATTTTTAGGAATTATTGTAGAGATCAAGTCTCACCAATTTGCCCAGACTGGTTTTGAACCCATGAGCTCAGACAGTTCCTCACCTCAGCCTCCCAAAGTGTTGGGATTACAGGCTTGAGCCACCGCTCCCGGCCAGTTTTTTTATTTATTGTAGAGATGAGGTCTCGCCGTGTTGCTCAGGCTGGTCTGGAATCCCTGAGCTCAGGCAATCCTCCCATCTGGGATTACAGGTGTGAGCCACCGCGCCCGGCCAAAAATGCATTTTATGTAGTTCCATTTTACGCACACACACAAATCCAATCCATTTCTGCTTCAGACTCAAGAAGCACTGATAATGTGCTAAGCACCAACTAAGGGACTTTCGCCCAGCATGAGGCTCACAGGGTGAGGCTGGGAGTGCTGCATTCGAATCTCACCTCTCTGTTACCTACTAGCTGCAGGTGGTTAGCCTCAGGTTCTTCATTTGTTAAATGAGGAAAGGAATAATACATTTCTCTTAGGGGAGGGTGGAAATGATGGCTGTCAAGGGCTTGGCTCATTGTCTAGTACATGGCGCTCAGCAAATGTTTGCTAGCCATTCTGGGACAGAGGCGGTGTTGTTCCAATACTAATTTGACAATCTGAGGCACTAACTTTCCAAGGCCTCGAGGTAAGTGGGTAGAACACAAGTCTTTCTGGCCAGAGTTCAAGCTGCCCTGGCTGTGGAGGTTTCTCCCTTTGGCTTTTCTCTTGCTTCACATGTCAGCCGAAGAGCTGCCCGGGGACTGTGTCTTATCTCTCCAGGCGCACACCAGCTGGGTCCCAGTTGTCAGGATTAGATGGCCGCCCCTGCCCTTCTCCCAGGCCTGGTGAACCAACCTTCCCTGTGTATCCAAAGCAAACAGATCAGGTGCCCTGTATTCCCTGAGGGGCCTCCCTCTCTGCCTCCCTGATGGTCCTGTTGACAATGGGAGCCTTGTGCTGGCGCCCAAGAGGCTGGAGGGGAAAACTCCATTCTCATTGAAGGCCATAAGGCCCCATCTGAGACATATCCTGTGTCCACTCCTTGAAGGACCACAGAGCAGAAGAACAAAATCCCACTAGCAAAGATTGCCATGTCCCTTTGAAAAGCTTTCCTTTTTTGGAGTTGGAGTCTCACTGTATCATCCAGGCTGAAGTGCAGGAGTGCAGCCACAGCTCACCATAGCCTCAACCTCCTGGGCTCAGGCTATCCTGTCTCAACCACCCAAGTAGCTGGAATTACAGGTACATACCACTATGCCTGACTGATTTTTTTTTTTATTATTTGTAGAGACGAGGTCTTGCTATGTTGCCCAGGCTGTGAAAAGCTTATTTATTTATTGTTTTCTTTTGAGTCAGAATCTCACTCTGTCACCCAGGATGGAGTGCAGTGGCACACTCATGGCCACCACAGCCTCGACCTGCAGCCTTCCAAGTAGCTGGAACTACAAGCACTTGTCACCACACCTGGCTAATTTTTTAATTTATTTTAGAGATGAGGTCTTGTCGAGTTGCCCAGGCTGGTCTCGAACCCATGGGCTCAGGCAATTCTCTCATGTTGGCCTCCCAAAGTGCTGGGATTACAGACCTGAGCCACCACACCTGGTAAAAAGCTTATTTCTTAACCCATATGTATCCCCAGGCCATGGAGAGCAAACTGCTTATTGGGGGCAGAAACATCATGGATCACACCAACGAGCAGCAGAAGATGTTGGAACTGAAGAGGCAGGAGATTGCCGAGCAGGTAGGGTTGCCAGGTGTCCGGTGGCCCTGGGGCCATGCCTAGGGGGTGTAGGGCAGTGAGCCATTCTGGACCCAGAATCCCTGGAATTACAGTACTGAGAATCTAAGACATACTACCCTGGGCCTCATGGGCTAACTAGCCCAGGGTCTTCCTGGCAGGGGCAGCGCTGGTCAGAGGAAGTGATGGCTCTCCCTGACATCAGCCTTACAAGCACCTGGTGCTAGTTCCTGGACCTTCCACAAGGGTGCGAGTTCTTTGCCAACTTGCAACTATTTCTTAAAGCATCAAGACCATAGTTTGTTGAGTTGTTTTTTTTTTTTTTTTTTTTGAGTTGGAGTCTCACTCTGTCACCCAGGCTGGAGGGCAGTGGCATGCTCCCGGCCACCACAGCCTCGACCTGCTGGGCTCCAGCGATCCTTCCATCTCAGCCTTCCAAGTAGCTGGAACTACAGGCATGCGCTACCATGCCCGGCTCATTTTTGATTTATTGTAGAGATGAGGTCTCACCAAGTTGCCCCAGGTGGGTCTCGAACCCACGGGCTCAGGCAATTCACTCACCTTGGCCTCCCAAAGTGTGGGATTACAGGCTGAGCCACCGAGCCCGGCCAGGTTTTTTTTTTAAATTTTGAGTTGGAGTCTTACTCTGTCGCTCAGGTTGGAGTGCAGTGGCACACTTATAGCCATCATAGTCTCAACCTGCTGGGCTCAGGTGATTCTTCCATCTCAGCCTTACAAGTAACTGGAACTACAGGTGTGCACCACCATGCCCAGCTAATTTTTTGACTTATTGTAGAGATGAGGTCTTGCCAAATTGTCCAGCCTGGTCTTGAACCCTTGGGCTCAGGCAGTCCTCTCGCCTCAGCCTCCCAAAGTGCTGGGATTACAGGCGTGAGCCACAGCGCCTGACCTGTTGGTCTTACCAACAACCATGACACTCCATGGGAAAAGAATGAGGCAGTGTGGAAGTCAGTGTGATGGGCATGTGGATATTTGGCTAGTAACCCCAGAGTGTGCCAGCTATTAGGGCTGGTGCCTCCATACCCATGGAGCAGTGCCTGGCAAAGGCATGGCTGTAGGAGCTGAGTGGAATGTTCCAAGAGGTTCTGCTTAGGATTGGGTGGCAACAGTGGACATGGGCCATGGCGAAGCCAAGTCCCGTAGTAGGCAGAATGAGCCAATCCCCAGAGTTCCCTTGGCCCTCCCAAGTATGTGCTGCTCTCTGGAGACCACCCTGCACCCCTCCTTGGCCTAGAAACGCCGTGAGCGGGAGATGCAGCAGGAGATGATGCTCCGAGATGAGGAAACCATGGAGCTGCGAGGCACCTACACGTCGCTGCAGCAGGAGGTGGAGGTCAAGACCAAGAAACTCAAGAAAGTAAGATGCCGCTGCAGGATGCTCTGCCCACAGGCTATGTGCTTCAGGGGCCCCTCCCCCCTTGATTTGAACTGCTGAACCCCTGAGCTCCATTGCCTGAACCGCTGAGCTGAGGAGGCGGCAGGGGGCTGGTGTTGGGGGTGGTATGGAGGCTTTTCTCTTGAGCCAGGCGGGAAAGATAGGCTGGGAATTCTGTCACTTCCAGTATCCAGGGCTGTCATCTCCGTGGTCCTCGGCAACTTCCCACTTTACAGTGTCAACCAGAGTCACAGTTTGTATACCTGGGCCTGGAGCAGGGCCAGGCAAATCCGAAGAGGCTTGAGAAGGAGACTCAAGCCTGGGGAAGCTCAGGCAGGGAGCATAAGACCCTCAAGGACATATCAGGGTGCAATGCAATGGCCCCAGATCTGAGAAGGCTTGCATGTAATGTTTACTTATTCCAAAGAAGTCAGGCGGAGACCCAACAGGGAGAGACATTGATGTATTCAATCTTACGGGTGGCACCGATGCCGGCAGGTTGGTGAAGAATCCACACCTCAGAGCAGTACAGCAAGCAGTTTTATAGGCAAGCAAGTGAATTAGTCAGATTCCTATCCAGTATTTACAATTGCATCAATTAAGAATGACGACTACATTGCTTTCAGCTTTGCTTGGTCACTGGCATCCCATGACTCATTACTGGGAATATGCATACCCTTTAGAGCCCAGTCTTGGCCAGAGGCCACTCTTGGAGGAAGGGAGCAGGAAGAAGCCAGGTATAAGGGAAAACAGTCTGTGCCCAGACAATACCCCACACAAGAGATGAGAATCACCAGGACCCTGCAAGGTCCATAGCAAGGGAAGATGAGGGTCTAGGGCAGGAAGCCACAGGAACCAGCTCGAATTCTGGGAAGGACCTGGAGAGCCCCCAGAGTAGGCAGAAGCCCAGCCACCACAGACAGTTGCCACAGACACGTCCTTCAGTGGGTTTGGAGTGAGACGAGATGGCCAGTGCTGCCTCCACACCTCACATTTGAAAGCCCTAGAGAGGCAGGAATGGGAGGAGTCACCTTCCACACTCACTTAGGCTTCTTGCTGGCTGAGCCCTGGGTCTCCAAGTGAGATATGGGTCCTAGTTCTGTCTCTTCTCTCTCTCTCTTTTTTTTTTTTTGAGTCAGAGTCTCACTATGTTGCCCCGACTACAGTGCAGTGGCATGTTCACGACCATCGCAGCCTCGACCTGCTGGGCTCAGTCTATCCTTTCACCTCATCCTTCCAAGTAGCTGGAACCACAGGCATGCACCACCATGCCCCACTAATATTTTTTTATTTACTTTAGAAATGAGGTCTTGCCAAGTTGTCCAGGCTGGTCTCGAACCCCTGGACTCAGGCAATCCTCTCACCTCTGCCTCCCAAAGTGCTGGGATTACAGATGTGAGCCATCTCGCCTGGTAGTTTTGTCTCTTCTGTTGTGACCTTGAGCAAGTCTGTGCCTTGACTTCCTCATCTATAAAAAAAGTATTGGCCAGGTGCAGTGTGGCTCAGGCCTGTAATCCCAGCACTTTGGGAAGCTGAGGTGAGAGGATTGCCAGAGCTCAGGGGTTCAAGACCAGCCTGGGCAACTTGGTGAGACCTCGGCTCTATAACAAATCACAAAATAAGCAGGGCGTGGTAGCGTGCACCATAGTTCCAGCTACTTAAAGGCTGAGATGGAAGGATCACCTGAGCCCAGCAGGTCGAGGCTGCAGTGGCCGTGGTGAGCATGCCACCATACTCCAGCCTTGGTAACAGAGTGAGACTCCAACTCAAAAAGAAAAAAAGAGTATTGAACCAAAAGGTTTCTCGGGTCTCTTCTGGTTTGAACATCCCACAATGCTGATAGCAGCTGAGAAAGAGCAGTAATAGTCACAGGCCTCTGCGTAGGGGGACGGGGTGGCCCTTTAAACAGGCAGTCCAATGCATGGTGGGTGGGCAGCAGGAGGAGTGCACACCAATTTCCCCAGCCTCATCCTGGGCTGAGCTGGCAGACCCTGAGCCTACAGTCCTCAGGGCCCAGGCTGGGTGACTGGGGCCTCATTGCCACACTGAGCAGCCTCTGAGCTGCACCTGTCCCCACCCAGCTCTACGCCAAGCTGCAGGCGGTGAAGGCAGAGATCCAGGACCAACATGACGAGTACATCCGCGTGCGGCAGGACCTGGAGGAGGCGCAGAACGAGCAGACCCGGGAGCTCAAACTCAAGTAGGGCCCGTGCCTCTCCCCTTCCCGGGTCCCCACAGCAGGCCCTGATTCCTCAGGGCCTCTCCTTCTCAAAGCCTCATTATTATTATTATTATTTCGAGTCAGGGTCTCACTCCGTTGCCCAGGCTGGAGTGTAGTGGCACGAGCCTGGCTCGTCACAGCCTCGACCTCAGGCAATCCTCCCACCTTAGCCTCCTGAGTAGCTGGAACTACAGGTGTGTGCCACCACACCTGGCTATTTTTTTTTTCTAGAGATGAGGTCTTGCCTTGTTGCCCAGGCTGGTTTCGAACTCTTGGGCTCAAGTAATCCTTGTGCCTCAGCCTCCCAAAGTACTGGGATCATAGGCCTGAGCCACCACGCCCAGCCTCTGAAGGCTTCATTCTGACTGTCTTCTCACCTGTGAGTTCCTTAGGAATAAAAGGTGTCTGAGGGATAGGTCCAAGGTCTGGAGTTTTTCCTACTTCCTCTGCCTGTATAAACCCCCCAAAGTACACGCTGGGTGGATACTGGCCAAAAGTTACTCCAAAGGCCCCGGGGCTATGATCTTTGACTTTCATGCTCTATAGGGATTTTTTTTTTTTTTGAGTTGGAGTCTCACTCTGTCACCCAGGCTGGAGTGCAGTGGCACGCTCATAGCCACCTCAGTGTCAACCTGCTAGGGGTGATCATTCCACCTCAGGCTTTCAAGTAACCAGAACTACAGGCATGCACTACCATGCCCAGCTAATTTTTTATTTATTGTAGAAACGAGGTCTTGCCAAGTTGCCCGGACTGGTCTTGAACCCACGGGCTCAGGCAGTCCACTCACCTCAGCCTCCCAAAGTGCTGGGATTAGACTGAGCCACTGATTCCCTCCTATAGAAATTTTTTAAAGGAACCCCTTTCCCATGGTTTTCCCACCTCCATGGTCCCTTTGCCTCTTGGCTTGTTGCAGCTACTCCTTCAGGCTTTGCATGTGCTGAGTGGTCTCTCACTCCCCCAGTTTCTCATCTCTGCCTCATTCCTCTCCCAGGTACCTAATCATCGAGAATTTCATCCCCCCTGAGGAGAAGAACAAGATCATGAACCGGCTTTTCCTGGACTGTGAGGAGGAGCAGTGGAAGTTCCAGCCGCTGGTGCCAGCTGGAGTGTAAGTCTCTAACCCGGCTGTCTGGGCTAAGGGACTTGTAAGCCTACTCCAGGTCGAGGGTCATCAGCTGAGGCCCTGCCTGCAGGAAGACGTGTTGGATGGAGTGGGGAAGGGATGGGGAGGACGCAGATGGGGATGAATTTCTCCGGATCTGATTGGTAGGGGTCTCCATGACAGAAGGGTGTTCTGTTTAAAAAAAGAAACAAAAGGCATCTCATTGGCCTGGGATGCAAAAAATACCCACTGAAGGTTTGAGGGAGGGAGGAAGAGCATCTCAGCCTCTTGGCAATCCTAGTGAATGCTAACATCTGGCTGGTTCTGGTGAATACTCATTTGTCAGGTGCTAAAAATAGCAACCATGGTTAATATTTGCTGAGCGCTATTGTGTGTCGGTTGCTGTGCCAGACTGCAGACAGAAGATGATCAGACGTGGTCCGAGCTCACAGTCCAGTGGGAAACACAGAGAAGTAATCAGATCATGACACGAGAGAGGTGGGATCCAATCTGGACAGCCTCCTTCAGCTGAGTGATTCAGCGTTTCCACCTGTTTCCCCATCCTAGCCCCTGGGTGCAGCTGTGTCCATTGGCTGGGTGTGCAGCTCCCTCTGCTGGTGGCCATGAAGAACAACCCAGCAGACTGCCTGCCTCACTCAGTTGAACCACTCACTCACTGTCCTTTAATTGCAAATCAGAGCCGGGCTCGGTGGCTCAGCCTGTAATCCCGCGCTTTGGGAGGCTGAAGTGAGTGGATCGCCTGAGCCTGCGGGTTCGAGACCCACCTGGGCAACTTGGTGAGACCTCATCTCTACAATAAATCAAAAAATCAGCCGGGTGTGGTAGTGCACACCTGTAATTCCGGCTACTTGGAAGGCTGGGGCGGAAGAATCGCCGGAGCCCCAGCAGGTCAAGGCTGCGGTGGCCGGGAGCAGCCACTGCACTCCAGTCTGGGCGACAGAGTGAGACTCCAACTCAAAAAAAAAAAATCAATATACAGAGCGCATCTCCCGAGGGATTCTTTGCTGTCTCCATCCTAGGAATGTTAATGCTAAGTTAAGGTAGGAGTCTCCCCAAAACTGGGATGGGAAGTTAACAAGAGGACCACAGACCATCAAATCCCTACTTAGTTTGACTACTTGCTGAAAGGTTGATCCTACCCAGGGTGACATTACACAATTGTAAGTGGCAAGTTCCTGAGTAGTGTCACTTTGGACTGACAATCCACCTTTCCAATCTAAGTAGAGACTCTGTAGGACATCATGAAATGCATAGGCTTTCCACCCTGGCTACAGCTAGAATTACCTGTGAGTTGGCCTACAGAGAGTCTGATTTAAAAGGTGAAGCAGGTAGCCGGGCGTGGTAGTGCGCGCCTGTAGTTCCAGCTACTTGGAAGGCTGAGCGGAAGAATCACCAGAGCCCAGCAGGTTGCGGCTGTGGTGGCCAGGAGTGGCCACTGCACTCCAGTCTGGGCGACAGAGTGAGACTTCAACTCAAATAAATAAATAAATAAAAGGTGAAGCAGGGCGTGGTGGCTCACGCCTATAATCTGAGCACTTTGGGAGGTGGAGGCAAGAGAATTGCCTGAGCCCAGGGGCTTGAGACCAGCCTGGGAAACATGGCGAGATCTTGTCTCTACAATAAATCAAAAAATTAGCCGGGCGTGGCGGCACGCACCTATAGTTCCAGCTACTTGGAAGGTTGAGGTGGAAAGATCACCTGAACCCAGCAGGTTGAGGCTGTGGTGGCTGTGAATGTGCCACTGCACGCCAGCCTGGACGACAGAGTGAGATTCCAACTCAAAAATAAAGGGTCTTGGGTGAATCCCAGGACTTATGTTTTGTGTCTTTCCTGCCCCCAGAGTTTTCAGGTGATTCTGCAATGAAGTGGGCTGGAAAACCACTATTGGCGTCTACACTGTAGGGTTATTTTATTCTTAGAAAATTATTGAGTTGAAAGTTTGCAGGTGAAGGAACTTATCAACGTACTCAACTAGATATAGGATGGGAGAGGCTCTAAGAAGATGTTTGTGAACTTTTTGTTATGAAACACAATTGCAAAAATAGTACAGACCAGGCACAGTGGCTCAAATCTATAATTCCAGCATTTTGGGAAGCCAAGTTGGGAGAATTGCTTGAGCCCAGGAGTTCAATACCAGTCTGGGCCACATAGCAATACCTCATCTCTATTTAATTTTTTTTTTAGTTGGAGTCTCACTCTGTCGCCCAGGCTGGAAGTGCAGTGGCACACTCACGGCCACTGCAGCCTTGACCTGCTGGGCTCCGGCGATCCTTCGGCCTCAGCCACCCAAGTAACTGGAACTACAGGCATGCGCTTCCACGCCTGGCTAATTTTTTGATTTACTGTAGAGACAAGGTCTTGCCATGTTGCCCAGGCTGATCTTGAACCCCTGGGCTCAGCAGTCCTCTTGCCTCTGCCTCCCAAAGTGCTGGGATTACAGACTTGAGCCACTGCGCCCAGCCAAATTTTTCTTTTTAAGTATGAAAAATTCCTGTATATCCTTCACAAAACTGTTAACATTTTTCCACATCTTGCTTTATTAATTTCCCCCTCCCCTTCAGCCATTTGGGATTAAGTTGCAGACATCTTGACCCTTTACCTATGTTTCCTAAGAATGAGAACATTCTTTTACATAACCATAGTACAATGATCAAATTCAGGAAATTTTATCTTGATGCAATATGGGCAATGTTATATTTTTGCCAATTTCCCAGTGATGTCTTTTATGGCAATTTCTCTCCCTCCCCACCTGAGATCATGCATTTCATCTCATTGTCATCCCTTTTTAGTCTCCTTTAATCGGGAACTGAGAAGGGATTTTGATTTGTTTGCAGTCTCTTCAGAAAAGTTTATTTATTTCCTGCAGTTTTGACTTGACTGCCTCAAGCACGTAATGAAGACTCAAAGTACAGTGGGGGCTTTGCCTAAAGTTGAGATAATCTCCCTGCCTAATAATTATAAACTTTCATTACTTATTTATTTATTTTTCAGTCAGGATCTTACTCTGTTGCCTAGGCTGGAGTTCAGTGCCACAATTATTGCTCACCACAGCCTCGACCTGCTGGGCTCAGGCAATCCTTCCGCCTCAGTCTTCCAAGTTGCTGGAAATACAGGCGTGTGCCACCACACCCAGCTAATTTTGTGATTTATTGTAGAGATTTATAGCACACTTTAAATAATTTTTAGAATAGGTACCAGTAATAACTCAGAAAAAAAAAGCTCGCCAAAAGACAGATCCTTCTTTGCTGTTTAACTATCACCATTTCTAGCCCACTGACTATTTTTAATTCTATCTTCTGCTTTAAAAGCAAATTTGTGCTCTTTATATCTTCTAGTAGAAGCCTCCAGAAGCTCTCTGACCACAGTTCTGCTGATGATTGACAAGGAGAGCTGAAATCTGTGATTTATTTTCCTCACCTTTCCTCTGTCCTCTGATTCTTCCCTCTATCCTCCTTGAGCAAGGAAGGTCATACAGAGAGAAGGCTTCAGGGTCTTCTTTGCTACTGGAAAACTGGTCATTCAAAAGTGGCTTGCTTTAGTTTACCTCTGTAATGTTGTTGAATAATGTTGTTGAAAGTGCTGGGGTTACAGGAGTGAGCCATTGCACCCAGCCTGTGTGTTGTTACTGTTGTTGTTTTAAATTTATTCTTTTTTTTTTTTGAGTTGGAGTCTTACTCTGTCACCCAGGCTGGAGTGCAGTGGCACGCTCACGGCCACCACAGCCTCGACCTGCTGGGCT